GGAAGGACACAGTAGTTAGGTTAAGAGAGAAGAAAAATCAGTAGGCCGACAAGAATAATATATAGCAAAAAATAATGAGACAAATAATATTCGTAAAGTGAAATAATCTTAAAAATCAATTATTTAATATAGCTTAGTTGTGAACCAATAATTAGTATGAACTTAAGAAAACAAAATGAGCTCAGTAATTAATTACAATAAATGATGTATAAATCAAATTAAAATTAAATTTAAAAATAAAAAAAATAAAAAATAACAGGGTAAGATTATATATATGAACAAGAGTTTACTAAGACACTGAGGTAGATGCTTACATAAATACTAAGTCTGCTGTAGTTAGAGAATTATTATAGCAAAACACAATAATAAATGCAAGTATACAAAAAAATTGAAACAATTAGAAGTAGAATAAAGATCACTAGATAGCCATGAAGGATTCACAAGTTTGGTGGAGAGAACAAAAAATCAGTAGAAACTGTCAAGATGAATATATAACAAAAAAATTAGACAAATGATAATTGTAAAGTAAAATAATCTTAAAAATAATTAATTTTATTTAGCTTAGTTTTTAACCTATAATTAGTATGAACTTAATTAAGAAAACAAAATGAGATCAATAATTAATTTCAATAAATGACATAAATCAGTACAATTATTACAGATATTAAGTCACTACACATCTTCTCATGTGTTCTCTATATATTTAAAACTCTAAACTTTTATGTCAATCCTGACCTTAAAAGCTTCTTAGAAGGTTGTAACAGAACCCATGAGCACCACACCAGAAACAAATATCTATGTGATATTCCAAGAGTACGACTTAACTAAACTAGAAATGCTCTACAATTTTTGTGTGTTTTTTGAGATATATACAAGAGTTGTTACATTCTTGTACAGCCACTAGTATGCGTAGCGTTTCGGGCAGAAAGGGACCCAGAATGTGGAATGACCTTCCCAATAATGACAAAGATTGTAACTCTCTCAACCAGTTTAAGATGAAAACTAAGTACTACCTAATTAACTCCCTGTAACCTGCCTTCCCCCCTAAATGTCAACTCATATCTTACTATTTTTAAGCAATGCTGTTTGTTGACCAACTTGTATATTGGCTATTTTGTACCATGTTTCCCCTTTTTAATCTTATATTTTTTCTTTCAGTCGAATTTATACTTTAAGCTCAATTACTTTTAAGTTTTAGTCTAAGTTTTTTCTTTCACACCTTCCCCAAAGCTCTATGTGTATTAGTGGCTTTAGGTATTTGTATGTACTAGCTCTATCTATAAATAATCAGAATGTTTGTAATTCTGCATCTATGTATGTACTTTTCCTAAATAAAATATTATTATTGTTATTATTATTATTATAGATTGACAGTTGAGAGGCGGGCCGAAAGAGCAGAGCTCAACCCCCGCAAGCACAACTAGGTGAATACATGAAATGGACTCTGTTACCATCATTAATAATTTTGTTGTATTTGTGTCTAGCTTCAGACACGAGCATGTTACAGTTATGTCTTAATTAAGAGTTGAGAGCAATTCAATAAAGGATGATAATTAAGGAGTCAATTATAATTAATGTATCAAGTTTGGAGACTTGTACAAAATTCAGTGCAAGAAGCAAGGCAAATAGTTCCGTCTAAAAGGTAGAGGCCCAGTTGTTTATACGGACTCCCCACTCAGAGTACAAGCCATCGCCCATTGTCAGAACAACTGCACTTCCAGCTGCACCCGTGGGGCGGTGTTGGGAACCATTATAGTGTATTTGATTTGAGAAAGAGAGATTTCCTCTGTCTCTGCGGACAGAGCATCAATATGGCTTAAGGCGTTGAGTTTTACCTCAAGAGGAAGCTTGGGCTGATCTCTAGTTTGCTTCTTTGGTGGAAAGGGAGGGATTAAAACTGGAAAGGGTGTAACCTCCCACGGTGCAGGAAAGTGCCGTTGTTGTTTCTCTTGGTACAAATGATAAATATGATACATTTTGAGTTCAGTTCCAGTTTTAGTTATCCATTTGGAACAATGATGACCTTCAATAAAGAAATTCTGGAGGGCTTCTGTGCAAGGGTTAGGATAAGTTAGTCTAACCATTTTTATATCAATTTGACAGTTAATTTCAGTAACGCGACCAACAACGCTCGGAATATTAAGTTCCTTTCTCATGTTAAGTATCCTTGTGGTACGAGGGCACCCAAGGGTTATCCTCAAGGCAAGTGAATTATGCTGCACCTCTGCTTTTGTTGATGCGTGAAAGAAAGTTTGGAGAGCTTGAAAAATTGCATTGTTCTCAGAACTGACTATTATTGTCTGTTCTGATAGGAAAAGTGCCCAACCACTTCTGTCTCTTATTTAACGTTGTTGTTGTTATAGATTCAGCTACTCGGAACAAATTCCAAGTAGTACGGGCTATGCTGAGCCCGTAACTTACCTGGCACAGGAGCGGGGCAAGTAGCACGGGCTATGGTTAGCCTGTAGTGGACTTACCAGGCACAGGAGCGGTGCTGAAACTCTTATTTAGCTAAATGAATTGTGGGGTTCAGTCCCTGAGCCCATTATGTGCCTCTGTAATCCTTTCCACTACCGCCCACAAGATGGGTATGGGGTGCATAATAAATGAACTAAACTAAACTATACGAACCCGACTGCATATGTACTATCGGGACCCTTATTAGTACATATAAGTACTTTTATATACAAATACAAATTTTTTATTCAAATGAAGTACATACATACAAAGGTAAAATACAAAAGTTGATGGATTTATAGATAGAGCTAGTACATACTTACTTACATGTACTAGGTTCTTCTCTTCCATTGGGTCATCCCTTGCAAATGATATTCCATCTTCCTGTACTGATGTTAAGGACTATCTTACAGGTAACTATCCACAGTCTCTGTACCTAAAGCCTACTAGTTCCACTGATGTCAATGAAATAATCCTTTCCCTTAAAACCAAGTCTAGTGCCCTCGAGGAGATACCAACTTTAATTTACAAAAAAGCCTCCAGATCTTTAGCCCCTGCTATTGCATTGCTCTTCAACAAGTCACTTGAACTCCAAACCTTTCCTGACATTCTAAAAAAAGCAAGAGTAACCCCTGTCTACAAATGTGGTGATCTCACTGATGTTAACAACTACAGACCTATATCAATCCTGCCTAACTTGTCAAAAATATTCGAAAAGCTAATCTACAAGCAGCTTTACTCTTTTCTAGCCAAACACAATATACTTAGCTCTTGTCAATATGGCTTCAGACCCAAAAAAAGCACTAACGATGCACTTATTAGTATGATTAACGTAATTCACGCAGCTCTTGATAAAAAGGAGTTTCCTGTTGGGTTATTTGTGGACCTGCGTAAGGCTTTTGACACTGTCAACAATCAAAACCTTCTTCTTAAATTACATCATTATGGAGTCAGAGGACACTCCCTGCAATACCTCAAATCTTATCTTACTGACAGGCTCCAGTATGTTTCTGTGAATAATACAATTTCTCCCACCCTACCCATCAACATTGGTGTTCCTCAGGGCAGCATACTTGGCCCTCTCCTCTTTCTCATCTACATTAATGACCTTCCAAATGCCTCCCAACACCTCAAACCAATTCTATTTGCTGACGACACAACCTTCATTTACTCCAGTCCTGACCCCCTTGCTCTAAATGCCACAGTAAATACTGAGCTAGAGAAAGTCCATCTTTGGCTAACTGCCAACAAACTCACCCTTAACATTGACAAAACGTTTTATATTCTGTTTGGCAATAAATCCTCTAATCAGATAAATCTCAAAATAAACAATACCCAAATTTGTAACAAATTAGATGGCAAATTCCTTGGCGTTCTCATCGACCACAAGCTGAATTTCCAGGGTCACATTCTAAATATATAAAAAAAAGTTTCAAAAACTGTTGGCATTCTTTCTAAGATCAGATATTATGTACCCCGCCCTGCCCTGGTTACTCTCTATTACTCCCTCATCTATCCATACCTCAACTATGGTATTTGTGCTTGGGGTTCTACTACCCAAAATCATTTACGTCCTCTTATTACCCAACACAAAGCTGCTATTAGGACAATATCCAACTCTGGCCCCAGACATCACTCGGTACCCCTACTCAAATCTCTGAATATGTTAGATATTAAGTCACTGCACATTCTCTCTTGTGTATTATACATATATAAAACGCTGAACTGTAATGCCAATCCTGACCTCAAAAGCTTCATTGAAGGTTGTAACAGAACCCATGAGCACCACACCAGGAATAAATACAGTTTTGATATTCCTAGAGTACGACTTAATCAAACTAGAAATGCTCTACAAATCAAGGGACCCAGAATGTGGAATGACCTTCCCATCCATGTTAAAGACTGTACCTCTCTCAACCAGTTTAAGATAAAAACTAAACACTACCTAATAAATTCCCTGTAACCCACCTCACTCCTTTATTGTCAACCCATGTCTGTTATTTTATTTTATTATTATTATTTTTTTTTTTTTTTTAATCAACACTGTTTGTCAACCTATTGTATTTGTGCTGCTTTTTCAGTCATGTTCCCCCTTTTTTTATCTTTATTTGTATCTGTTTTCAACACTTTTTATTCTTTATGCTCAATTAGTATTAAGTTCTAGATATTAATGTTTTTCTTGCCCGAAACGCATTGCGTAATAGTGGCTTTAGGCATTGTATGTACTAGCTCTATCTATATATCAATCCATTAATGTAACATCACTTGTATGTATATACCTTACCTGAATAAACATATTTATTTATTTATTTATTTACTATGTACATAGTACATACAATGTTGTGTATTGTATGTACTTTCCGTATATATAATTATAATATAATTTCCGTATACATCTAAGACTACTCTACTGTCATATATCTCTAATGTATGTATGTTAAATTAATGAAATTTTAAATATTTGTTACCCTTGGAGATAAGTTCTCAAATATGGCGACCAGTTTGCGTCATATGAGCCATTGTTGGGCGCGAGTACTAAACCCACACTAGTTCAAGATCTCTGTGGCGGCCGGCGGCCATCTTGGATGAGAGGTAAACAACAACATGAGCTGGACGGCGATGTCAGCTCGTCTACAAGAGTGGGAAGGCAGTCATCGGGAGGACAAACCCTTCATGCAAACTGCACCTACTATTAAGAAGAAAAAGAAGGAGTAGGAAGAGCTTGTTGTCAGCTGCTGACGAGGAGCTGAAGACTAAGCGCTTGTAGTAAAGGAGGAGGAAGCCTATCGATTATAATCATAAGAGGTAAGTTTAGGGCCGTCATTTCATTGATGTTGATTTTGATAATTACATAAATACTGTAATTCATTGTGTCAGGACAGGCAGGCAGTGTATATACATGTTAGGCTTATATTGAGGTCTCTTTCCCCCCCCC